TGGGATCAGAGATGCTGCACTGGGATGTTGTTGGTGTTGCTGCCCTAATGTTGAGTCCTTGCATCCCTCTGCCTGTCCGTCTGCTGAGCCCAGCAGCACTCTGGGACAAGGATCAAGCCCCTCTAACAACCCACCCCAGTCCACCAGAGCAGCCTCCTCTATTGGATTTGGGGGGATTTGGGGACAATTTCCCCCTCCAGCAGCAGCTTTTCCCTTCTCTCTTCCTCCCGGAAGGCTCGGAGCCCAAGTGCTGCGTGGAGACTGTGCTGCCATCCCAGGTTACATGCAAGTATTAATTGTTATTGGTGCAACAACTGCTCTGTTTCTCGGGAGATGACTGAAAGAGCTGAGAAAATAGAAAGGCCTGTCAGGCAGCAGGGCGGGAGGTGAAGATGTCAAGAGAGTAATTGCTCTACCCAGAAGCAGCCTGTTTCTGGCTTCCCCAGCACTGCCAGGAAAAATCCTCAGCGCTTATTTGATGACAATAAAACCAAATGCAAAATAAATAGCAACCCCATCCCTTGCCCATGCTGACGAGGAACAGGGAGAGCAGAGGCAGATGCAAAATAAGATGCAGTTGAGCTTATAAATAGGTGCCTCCCAGCTCCCAGTCTCTTACTTAACCTGGAGCAGACGCAGCCACAGATCCCAGAGATCCCTCCCTCCCCTTTCGCCCCACAGGGCTCCCAAAACAGCTCATCCAAACACGGGAGCTGGTTGCCCGGTGTGGAAAACCATAAGGCTGGGTTGGATGGGGCTTTGTGCCCCAACCTCCACTGGAGATGGGATTTTTATGCTTTTCACCCATGGAGGCTTGGAAAATGTTTGGTGTCTGCTGGGGAGCAGATCACACTCTTCCTCTCATGTGGGACAGGTTGGGGCAGGGAATATGTCCTGGTGGCCATGGAAAATACAATCCTTTGGCCTTGGAGAGTGGGAAGAGAATCAGCCCAATGGCAGCACTATGCCGGCACGAGGCTGGGGACCAGCTCTCGGCTTGTGCAGAGGATGCCCAAGGTGAGGGGTGGCTCTGTAGATGTGCAGCCCCCCAGGGTAGCATCTCTGGTCCTCACAGCACCAAGGATGCAGGCAGCCACTGGCTTTTGTTCCATCCTCCGTTGTTACGGGGTCCATGGAGACGGGCACTGTGGGAGATGCAGATGTGGGCTGGGAGGTGCACTGGGATGCTCTGCCCCATTGGGCACTGTTGGCTTTTCAAACCCCTCCTGTGTCAGTGGTGGAAGGACAAGGACCTGAAAAGTGTCCTGGGGTGGCCCGGGGAAGTCTTGGAGAGGTGGCCATGGGGGCTGGGAGGAGCCATCCCTGCAGGAGTGTTTTGGCTTTTAGTGATTCCTCTTTCAGCAGCTCATGAGCCTCTTGTCTGCAAACAATGTGGAGGGAAAGAAAAAGAAGGAAAAAAACCAGAAGCAAGTGCATTGGCAGACCAAGTGGAGTTAGTGTAGGACCTACCCAAACATTGTGCTGGAGCAGCTGGAGGCTGGCAGCCTGTGAACACAGCACTTCAGGGTGTTTGGGGAGATGCTTGTCAGGAGAAAGTGGGACTGTGTGAAACCCAGCAGTGCGTGTCTGCACCCCCAGAGTGTGAGCAGCAGCTCAGGGAGGGGATCCTGCCCCTCTGCTGTGCTCTGGGGACACCCCCCTGCAGCCCTGATCCGGCTCTGGGGAACAGCACAAGAGGGACGTGGAGCTGCTGGAGCGAGGCCAGAGGAGGCCCCGGAGCTGCTGCGAGGGCTGGAGCAGCTCTGCTCTGGAGCCAGGCTGAGAGAGCTGGGCTGGGGCAGCTGGAGAAGAGAAGGCTCCTGAAGGGGACACCTTAGAGCAGCTCCAGGGCCTAAAGGGGCTCCAGGAGACCTGGAGAGGGGCTTTGGACAAGGGATGGAGGGACAGGACAAGGGGAATGGCTTTAACCTGAGGAAGGTGCCGTAGGCTGCAGAGGGGCTGAAAGGATGAGAGGGGCTGGAACCTGCTGGTGGAGCTGGGAACAATAAGCTGAGACAGGAGGACGGTTTTCTCGAGGTGGCTTTGTCTGGGGGACAGTGATTTAACAACAGGCAGAAAAGAATCTCTCAGCTGTTGTTGTTTATTTTTAGTGGTGCTAATTTTCTCCAGGGCTGGGAAGCTGCTTTCCAAGGCAGGTCCCTGAGGGCTGAGGGCTGAGGGCAGCAGGGCTCGAGCTCGCACACAAAGTGGCTTTGAATGGGGAGGAGATGGGAGTTAAAAGCTGAGTCGTGTCCCTGGTAGATCAATCGACCTGATGGGGAACGTTTTGAGCAGGCCACAGTCTCTGCCAAGAGCTTTTAGCTGCTCGCAGAAGTGATTGAACCAAGAGTGGGGAGGTTTTGCAGCAGCCGCTTCGTGCTGGTCCTTAAATTGCTGCTGGGGGATGGTGATGGGGCTCCCAAACCAGTCCTTTTGGCAGCTCTGGATGTAGGGACCTCTCCTGCAAGCCCTGGGATTGAGGGACTTTAATCCCAAGGGGGTTTTTCTGGATGCGTGGCTTTGCAAAGCCTCTGCATCTGGATGCTGCTCATCCAAGCTGTGCAGTGATGTTCGATAGACAATGAGACCTTTCTTTTGGGGAAAATGAGATGCTTTTGGAGCTGTATTTGGTGTTCAGGGGGGAAAGTCGGGTCAAAGCCCTGCTCAGGAGCTGGCAGGGGGGGGGTTTGCAGCCAAATCCATGGGTAGAAAGGGCATCTCGGAGCCTTATCGGGCGGATCAGGCGCTGTCTCCCTGTCTGATGGCCCCTCGCCTGGAACCTGGGTCCTGGCACATGGGGAGAGGTGGTGTTGTGACTCAGAGCTCCAATCACGGGTAATTAATTCAATGGTAACGAATAAGAGGGAGAAAAAGAGACAAGGAAAAACACTGTGGGATATTAATGCAGCAGGCTTGGCTTTGGGACATCTGGCTTGGGAAGTTTTGTTCAAGAGCAGCTTTCTGCAGGAGAGGGCTGCAGCACGGGCAGCTTCTTTCTTCTGCTTGTCATTTTTACTCCCAAAATCACCCTGACTCCATGTTATTTCCATCTCTAGGTCCTTTCTGAGGCTTTTTTAAACACTTTTCCTGATTTACTGATGGAATAGCAGCATTTTATCCCTCTGGAGGAGATCATTTCACTTTGTAGCTACTCTGGTTTCTTCACCCTGCAATGATTGGTCCCCTGGAAGCGCATTCTTGCTCTCCTCCTCCTGTTTCTTCACATCAGCTGATGAAAGCAGTGTCTAATGTGTTTAATACTTGTGTCTTTAATTGCAGATACCTGCCAAGATGTCCTCTCTTCCAGTTACCCCCAGGGTGAGGTGGTCACCTTCTCCTGAGCTCTGGCTGGATGCGGGCAGCACCTCGGCAAGGGATGCCGTCCCTGAGGGATGCTCTCCCCAAGGGATGCTTTCCCCAAGGGATGCTTTCTCCGAGGCAGACGGATGCACACCCCGAGGGATGCTGTCCCCAAGGTGGTGGGATGCTGTCCCTGAGGCTGAGGGATGCTTTCCCCAAGGGATGCATACCGAAGGCCAAGGGATGCATTTCCCAAGGCTCTGGGATGCTCCCTCTGAGGCCAAAGGTTGCTCTTCCTAAGGTTGAGTGATACATTCCCCCAGGGATGCTCCCCCTAAAGCACAGGGATGCTCTCCTGGAGGCCAAGGGATGCATTCCCCAAGGGTGATGCTCTCCCCAGCGCTGAGGGATGCTCTCCCCAAAGGAGATGCTCTCCCCGAGGCCAAGGGATGCATTCCACAAGGGTGATGCTCTCCTCAACCCTGAGGGATGCATTCACCAAAGGAGATGCTCTCCCCGAGGCCAAGGGATCCATTCCACAAGGAAGATGCTCTCCCCAAGGCTGTGGGATGCATTTGCCAAGGGAGATGCTCTCCCTGAGGCCAAGGGATGTTCTCCCCAAGGCTGGAACACGCATGCCCCCAGGGGTGCTCTCCCAGAGGAGCTTTCCTTGCCCACCACAGCAGCCCAAAGCTCCAGCCACCAGCTCTGTGGCCGGGGCAGGAGGTTGGCAGCCGGGTCCCCCTC